CCTTCATCCTCCTTTCTAAGACATTTGTTCCTTCTTTTTTTTTCCTTCTGTTCAAAGCTAGCTGGCTTCTTAACACTCCATGAATAGCTCGTATTAAACACTGACTCTCTGTAATTAGTGTTTGTGCAGAGAGCAATTAATTAGCTTACAGTATTAGCCACGTTTCTCCCGCCCTCAAGGAACTGAAGGGCCAAGATGCTGATGGCTAGAGAAAAAAATTACTTCAGTGGCTTTGATTAATTTTCAATACGCCATCCTCAAGCACTTCGACAGAGGCAATACTTTATGCCTTCACCTCTCTTCTGCATTTTGTAGCTGGGGCGGGGCCTGGGCAGGCGACACGTGTCTGTGTAATTGCTTCTGAGAGGAGGGACTGGTGTCACCATTTGGCCTGACCTCTCCAGTCTATGGTTTCGGAGCTTCCTATAAATGTATCAGTCCAGTTACATACCACCATATCTGTGTGTGTGTGTGTGTTTATTTTCAGCTGCTGATCTTGTACGTTTAATTGCATTTTAACAACCCTGCATTTTCACTCACCCAGAGTGTTTTATAGATTGGTTTATAGTCGTTCTGGAGCTAGCCATTGCAAAGAGATGTCCAGTTACAGGGCATCTCATGCTGGGTTTTTCTGGGACACAAATTAACATGGAAACAAGCCTGCCCTCTTGGGAGCTGAGTCTTCACCCTGTGCCCACGGATAGATCGATTATAACCAGACCAAGTGTCTCCCCTGTGCCAAGCCAGGCAATGGTCCATAAATACTCTCCAAGGTGCCAGTCCTGTGCCTCTGCCTTCGTGTTAAGCACACCTGCAGTATCTTTTTCTTCTGTGGGTGTCAACACCGTTATGGAGGGAAATTTGGCAACTTATGTCCTAACAGGATTCACTTGTTTAGACCTGCTAATTCTAAGAATTTATCCTGGGAAAATAAATATACACCCAGATTGATGTACAAGGTGATTCACTGCAGTATGTTCACATTTATTTTACAACTTAAATTTACTGCAAATGAATGTAGAATAAATTATGATAACCTATAATGACATAGCAGTCACTAAAATTATGTATTTGAAAAAATTAGTGACAGAAAATTCTTCTAATGCAATATAAATGGAGAAAAAAATAGGTATATGTAATCATAACTGTTAAAAGGAAATACACCTTTAAGCATAAAAATATGACATACCGATGAATATGATGTATGTAGGGAAAGATAATTAACTTCTTTTTCACTTCAGGTGTGGAAAGTGTCCAACCTGCAGAGAAACCCTGTGGGTTGGACTCTGTTCTAAAGGAACAAAGTACTGCCTGCAGGGATAAAATTGTACAATCCAAGGTGGATTGTTTCATGTGCCCTATATTTTTACAACTCCTGGAAATAGCATATCGATTTTCCTGTCCCAGATACAACTTCCCCACTGTGGGCAATCCTGATAGGTGCCCACTTCTTCCTGGTCAAGGCGGCAGGCACATGACCCAGTCCAGACCAGACTGGATTCGCTGTCTCTCAGGGATCTGAATTAAGGAAACAGGAATAAAAAGTATTAATATTGACCTGACCCCTGTAACAGTGACCTGAAGAGATAGACCATTACTTTTTATGACTAAAATCCCTGTTGCCACTCTCTCTCCACTTTTTCTGAACTTAATTCTTCAGCTGTTCCTTTAATTCTCAACCTGCCATTTAAGCTTCTGATAAATGTATTTTTGTTAAAGTTAACCAGAGTTGGAATATGTGTCTTATAACCAAAGAATCATAAATTAATACAGTAAAAATAAAATCATGTGCTCTTTAAAAGGGAGCCCTCCTACACTGCTGGTGGGAATGCAGTTTGTTGCAGCCATTATAGAAAACAGTATGGAGATTCCTCAAAAGACTAGGAATAGACTTACCATATGACCCAGGAATCCTGCTCCTGGGCATATATCCAGAAGGAATTCTCCTTCAAAATGACACCTGCACCCCAATGTTCATAGCAGCACTATTTACAATAGCCAAGACATGGAAACAGCCTAAATGTCCATCAATGGATGACTGGATAAAGAAGATGTGGTATATTTATACGGTGGAATACTATTCAGCCATAAAAACTGACAACATAACACCATTTGCAGCAACATGGATGCTCCTGGAGAATGTCATTCTAAGTGAAGCAAGCCACAAAGAGAAAGAAAAATACCATATGAGATTGCTCACATGTGGAATCTAAAAAAAAAAAAGACAGATGAACTTAAACATAAAATAGAAACAGACTCACAGACATTGAATACAAACTTGCGGTTACCAGTGGGGAGGGGAGTGGGAAGGGACAGACTGGGAGCTTCTGAATTGTAGACACTGACAGGTGTATATAGAATAAACAAGATTTTACTGTATAGCGCAGGGAAATATATACAAAATCTTGTGGTAGCTCACGGTGAAAAAGAATGTGACAATGAATATACGTATGTTCATATATGACTGAAAAATTGTGCTCTACACTGGAATTTGACACAACATTGTAAACTGACTATAACTCAATAAAATAATTTTTTTAAAAACCATGTGCTCTTTATGTGGTTGGGATCCCAGATCCAAGGCCAGTGAGGTTCCTGAGCACATCCCAGTCTGTGACCTCCCTTGCCTCTGGGTCTACAAGCCCCCTCTTCATTCCTTGTTGCAAGTGGCCGATGCTGAGATGCTGTTGGTGAAATTCAGCTGCCTTGTACTTGTTTTCTAGCACGTACACTGCCCAGAGGGGCAGTTCTTGTCTGGAGAGCTGGCAAAGGGACCCCGTCTGCACGGCTCTGTGTGGCAGCCTCCCAGATGCCCCTGTGCTGATGACCTGCAGTGGGTGACATTGCCATCAGAAAGCCAGGGAATGGTCTTCTGGAATTCTTTTTTTTTATTTCAGTGCAAGAATCATTTGATGCTCATGTAAGATGAATTGATTTTTTTTTTCCTGGTGGCAATTATTTCTCCAGTGGTTGGCATTTTCTACTCACATGGCTTAAATTCAGGGATATTACAATCTCTGAATAACCGGAAGTCTCAGCTTGACTTTTATAAATTTTTTCCCCTGTGGAAAAGTTTGCCACAATAGGTTTTAAATTATACAAGAGTACACTGAAGCAGTAACGAAACACTACAGGATCCTACCAGGTGAAGGTGTTACAAGGTAACTCTAAATGCTCCCTCAATGCTTCTGCCAGGAAGGTTTTCCCTCAGCCTTCCCATCCATTCCTACTCTAAACCTAGCTCAAAAGTCAGCCCTTCTAGAGTAAATATGACCCAGGATAATGTTAAAAAGATCATCTTGTTTCAGGTAGACAGAACCAGAGTGGACATTTGCTCAATCTCTTGCAAACTGTGTGATTTTTATCAAGTTGTATGATCTCTCTGAGAATCGCTTTTCAGGCATCTAAATATCTATTGACCTATTTATTGACATATCTGTGTAGAGCCATGTAAATTTCCATGAAGATTAAATACGGTAACGCGTGTAAAGCACCCGGTATATGGAAAGGTGTGCAAGTATCCTGCCCCTAATGACACCCACCTGTCTGGTGGGGCCGTTATCCTGGACAGGATACTTGCCACAGCCCATCCCAGCCAGGGTCCACACACAGAACAGTGGTCACCGGGAGGACTTTGCATATGAAGCCGGGAAGCAACGGGAGGAGAAAGGCAGGGCTGCCTCAGGACACCGCCGAGATACAGGCAGGAGGGAGAAAATGTCACAGGCAACATGCAATGAACCCCACTGGCAGAACCAGTAAACAAAAATGCAGAACTCCTCACTTTGGGCTCCTATAAAAATAGGGACTCTGTTAACGAGTGCTCCATTTTTTTGGCCGCTATGCTTACTGTTTCACGAGCATCACCTCATTTATTCTTCATAAAAATCCTATGCGGTAGACATTGGTCCATTTTTCAGATGGGGGAACTGAGGCTTGGAATGGCTCCATTGTCCAGTCAAATCCTCAGTGTTCAGAAGTGGCTGAGTTGTTATGGGAAACCAGTTGCCTGATCTAAAATACACAGAGATCAAAACCTGAGGGTGGAGTGCCTCGGAGAACTCCTTGAAACCTAAATTTTCAGGAGAAAAGGAGACCGCTGGAGCCGGAGAGACCTGGGGGGCTACCAGGCTTGAAGGCAGTAACAAGGGGACGTTGAGTGTGCCTCCTCTCAGCATTTCAAATAGCGTGGCCCGAGCCGAAACCCATGGCGACGCGCCGGGTTTCCACCCAATGTGAACTAGGGCACAGAGTTAACTACTTGGGTCCCAAATACTTCCATTTAAATATTCAGATAATTGAGGGAAAAGTACTTCAGTGTGCGTTACTCCGATAACAATTTCCACTGGCCTCTAGCCTCTCCAGACACAGGGGTCTTCCCTTGGTCCTTTTTTTTTAAGGGAATCTCTGTACTTGTGAAGATTTCATTTGCTTCTCACCCTGCTTCTCACTCTCCTTAACTTGGTCTTGGTTAAGTACGAGGCAGCTGCTACCTGTGACCCTGCCACTCCCCACGCTGTGCGGCACATTAGGTTTTTGTAGGTCAACAATAGAACTGGCACTGGCAGAGGCAAATCACTTGTCAAGGATCACTGAGTGTCAATGCAGTATTGACACAAAAGTTACGACATGCAAAATGGAAACTCCGTTTGGCAGTGTTAACCGATGGCCTTGTCCACAGGTGGTTGCATCACGCATACTGACGGTGTAGGCTCTTCTACTTAGTCTGGTTGAACAGTGGGTGGAAAGGAAGCAAGGGTGGAACAGAAGGAACACACAGGACGCTGCATCAACAGGGAATGAGTTTGGGAAGAGCACATCAAAGGAGTTTATTCAATCAGGTGTGTAGTCATTCATCTCTGGACAAGTATTTACTAAGTATCTCTAATATTAACAGTGTTCAGCGGTGTTTCTTCAAGTTCTGTAGCTCATGGCTTTCGGACACCGTGGCATTTGTTAAATGCACTTTCGTTGGTTTCAACCTAGAATTTATTTTTCCCCAGGGGAAAGCGTGAACACAGTCCCCCACGACCACAAATTACTGCAGTCACGTTCCCCACATTTGGGGAGATCACAGGGGTCAGCACCCCCAGAGTGCAACAGGTGAGCCTCGCCCTGGGTAAGCCACCCTCGTGATCATGGCATCTCCCTGCCAGGTGATCAGCCTGGAATTTGTATCAAGAGTCTCTGGGGTTAGAGCCGGTGAATTACCTTAGGTGATTCTGACTCACTCTTCATCATTGTGCGACGTGCTGGAGGTAAGAAAAGCAAACTGTTCTGACTGTGAAGGAGGAGTTGAGCTGATTAAAGACACAAGCTATATACAAGTCGAAAGATGATTAAAATTCTACGGATGTGAGTGTAACAGTCAACACCAGCTCTTGGAAATCAGAGCAAGGAGGTTAGCAGAAAGTTTGACTAAATCAGGAAAGCATCAAATCTGGATAAAATATAACCAAAAAAAATAAAAACACATATGTTTGAAGACATCTGAGTTCTGATAAAGGAGCCAAGCAGTGAGGAATCAAATTCTAGAAAGAAGGGAAGCCCGCTGAGGTGTGGCATGCATCTTCCCTGTTGCTTTTACCACCGAGATAGTTGCTGAATCTTTTTCAAATTGAGGTCAGATGTATACAACCTAAAGTTAATTAACCCTTTTAAAGGGTACAATTCAGTGGAATTTAGTGTGTTTACAATGTTATGGGACTGTCATTTATATTGAATTCCAAAATATTTCCATCATTGCCAAACAGATCTTGTACAAATTCCTCACTCCCCAGCCCCAGCCCCTGGCAACCACTAAGCTACTCTCTGTCTGTATAGATTTTACTTATCATGGATATTTTGAGTTAACGGACTCATACAACATGTGTCCTTTTTGTGTCTGGCTTCCTTTATTCAGCAGAATGTTTTTAAGGTTATCCATGTTGTAACACGTCCCAGTACATCATTCCTTTTATAACTGAATACAGTTTAATCATATGGATACAGCGCATTTTGTTTGTCCATTCAACAGGTGGATATCTGGGTTGTTTCTGCCTTTTTTGACTATTGTCAGTAGTGCTGCTGTAAACATTTGTACACAAGTATTTCTTTTAATACCTGTTTTCAATTACTTGGCGGTTTATACCTCGGAGAGGAGTTGCTGGGCCATATGGTAATCTACTATTTTACTTTTTGTTGAACTACCAAACTGTCTTCAAAAGTGGCTGCACCATTTTACATCCCCACTAACAACTTCTCCACATCCTTACCAGCATTTGTTATTTTTCTTTTTTGATGAATAGCCATACTGATGGGTGTTATGTGGTAATTGTGGTTTTCATTGCATTCCCCTAATGACTAGTGATCTCGAACCTTGTTTCATGTGCTTATGGGTCATTTATATATGTTCTTTGGAGAGTGATTTACTCAAGTACTCTGCCCAGTTTTTAAAATATATTTTTATTGAAATATAGTCAGTTTACAATGTTGTGTCAATTTCTGGTGTGCAGCACAGTGCACCAGTCACACAGGAACATACATATATTTGTTCTCACGTTCTTCTTCACCATAAGTTACTCCAAGATATTGAATATTGTTCCCTGTGCTCTACCGTATAAACTTGCTGTTTATCAGATTTTGTGAGAATCCTCCTGTATTTCAAAATGAGACACACTCTGCGAGAGTTCAGTAGGTATCCTGTGTGATTCAGTGGGTTCGTAGATGTAATTCTTGGTGTATTTGTGGGAGAGGGTGAGCTGTGAGTCTCTCTACTCCACCATCTTGGCTCTGCCCCCCTCTGCCCATTTTTTAGTTGAGTTGTTTATCTTTTTCTTGCCAAATTGTAATAATTATACATTCTGGATACTAGACCCTTTCAGATAGATGAATTGCAAATATGTTCTCCTGTTCGATAGTTACATTTTCACTTTCTTAGTAGTATTCTTTGATGCACAAAAATTTTTATTTTGAAGATGTTCAATTTTTTTCTTTTGTGGATGGTTTTTGGTGTCTCACGTGTTCATTCTTAACATAAGGCAAGTGGCTGGGATGCAAGGTAAAAGCAGCTGAAAAAGTGAAGCTGAGGTTTTGTGTTCTTGCTGCTCTAGAGAGAAAAAAAGCTAAAAGAAGAACCCCCAAGAAGGAAGTGATTAATTTGGGGCCAAAAAAAAGAAAAGAATTAAATCAAGATAGACAAAGAATATAATCCAGCCTCTAGTCAGCTCCGGCCCTGACTGGCTAAGGTGAGGAGCCCCACTGGGGCCGCCGGAATCCTGTCTCCAGGAAGGTACTGCCACACAGAACGCCACCTCCCACCCGGGACAAGCAGACTGTAGAAAATTGCCATTAATTCTGAGAAACAGAACCAGAAGTTAAAAGCCAAAAATAGAACCGACACACGAATACTCCAGGTAAACGCTATTAGACAGAGAGTTGAACATGATTGTGATGAAACAGTCAAGAAATTGGGTGACAAGATGGAGAATTTCATTGGAGAACTCGAATCTAATTTTTAAAAATCAAATGGAAATTCTACACAGACATAGAATACAGACTTGTGGTTGCCAAGGGGGCGGAGGGTGGGAACGGATAGACGGGATTTCAAAACTGTAGAGTAGATAAACAAGATTATACTGTACAGCACGGGGAAATATACACAAGATCTTGTGGGAGCTCACAGAGAGAAAAATGTGACAATGAATATACATATGTTTATGTATAACTGAAAAATTGTGCTCTACACTGGAATTTGACACAACACTGTAAAATGATTATAAATCAACAAAAAATGGTAAAAAGTGAAAATTCTAGAACTGAAGAACATGAAAGCTGAAACTAAGAACTCAACAGATTCATAGAAAAAGCAGACCGAATGCAACTAAGAACACAATTTGTGAACTAGAAGACAGGTCAGTCGAACATTCGCAGACTGAATCATAACAAAAAATTATGGAAAATTCAGAAAAGAGCATAAAAGACACTTAGGACAACGTGAAACAATCTTAACGTAAAGGTGATTAGCGTCTCAGATGAGAAAGAGAGAGGGTGGGCAGGGGCAATGTTTGAGGAGATAATGACCAAGAATTTCCCCCAAGTTGAATGACATCAAATCAGAGTCAAGAGTCAGTATAAACTTAAGCAGAATAACAGATCAAGAAAACCGCCGCGGGCTCATCAGAGCAAGTCTGCAGAGAAGCAGAGACTAAAGAGCAATCTTAGAAGCATCCAGATACCAAAGAGATACCTGCTCTCCCACGTTCACTGCAAGTTATCCTCAAAAGCCAAATATGGAAAGAACATCAAGTGTCCATTAATGGATGCACGGATTAAGAAAATAGATAGACAGGCAGACAGATAGATAATTATAAATATTCTCACCCAAAAAGGTAAGTGTGTGAGGTAAAGGGTGTGACAATTAACTAGATGGAGAAAACCCTTTCACAATGTATACTTATCTCCAATCATCATGATACACCCTTTAAATATCTTAAAATCTTGTCACTATGCCTCAATAAAGCTGAAAAAGAAAGCAACCAGAGGGAAAATGCACAATGTCCTCAAATGAGCAACAACAAGACTGACAGTTAATTTCTGAAAAAAATGGAAGTCAGGAAAAATGAAGTGTGAATACCATAAAATTGGAAGTCTGCAACCCAGCAAAAAGATCCTTAAAAAGAGTCGATTTGAAACCCCCTGGAACTGCCTGCACAGATACAGTTTCTCCTTCGCTGCAACGCAGAACCCTGCCCTTTGTCTTGATGACAGATCAAGACCCTTCTTTTATTTCCTCTTCCACTGGGTGTCATTATCGTGGAGACATAATACTCCAAAAGAGCAAAGACAGAACTAAATTTAATGAGGGCAAAACACATTTTTCTTCCCCTCAAGAGATAACCTTTGAAATTGTCAATTCTGTATTAAATACTCCAGCCTGGAGTATGAGCTTACTCCAAAATAGCTGGAAGTTCTTTGTGTCTGGAGGGGAGGGGGCAGAAAGCACTTGGTTGAAAATTTTCTCTTAAAAAAACAAACAGGTAAAAGGAGGAGATGTCACATAGGAATGGTGAAAGAAAGCTTTGAAGGCCAAGGGCCAAAGCATTCATTTCATGAGATCAAAGTGGCAGCACATTTATGTCTAAACACTCTACAATTATGACCATAAACTTCATTTTATAGATGAGTCAACAGAAGCTGAGAGAATTTCAATAACATATTCGAGGTTATTCCGCTGTGTAGCGGCAGAAGAGGAGTGGCAGGGAAAACCAAGGATGTGAGATGAGATCGTGAGAATGACCATGAGGGTTCATTGCACAGATGAGAGAAAAAATGAAACTTCACTCTATAGCAACTAGAAATTCTTAACAAGCCATCAGATTTGCAGAGTCTTCTCTAGTTACAGAAATAATTTGGGGCATGAGTAAAGATTTTTAAGGGAATGTATAAAAAGTCAAAGGGAAATGCAGAAAGGGGAATTAAGAAATACACCAAGAACTAAGAGTCAAGCTCCGTCTCTGATCCTGACCAGCTATCGGACCCTAAACGAGTATCTGTCCCCCCCTGGATGTCAGATGGCCATAATGCCCACCTAATTCCCAAAGCTGCTTTGCAAATAAAGTGAGTGGGTAAGCAGCAGTCAAGCTTTGAACATTATAAGGTGATGTATAAAGGTACAGGATGTTCAGCCGCCAGAGTCTGGGCTGTCAGTCTCAGGAAAGGCGCTGACATAACTTGAGACGATGGAAGCCAATAGAAACATGCACGGACCTGAGGAAACCACAAGACCCCTTTTGGTTTTCAAGGGGAGACGGGGGAACAACCCTTCTGAACATCATGACTTCCTTGTGGTGAGTACCAATTTCCTTGGGAAGATCTTGGTTTAAATATATATATATATTTAAATATATATATCTCTGACTTGTCTAGACCCTATATTGAGATCTACAGCAGAATGAGTAGCTTTGCCCCTTAAGAAATCCCTCCCTCTAATTTTACTTTGTTAATTGGCTATTTTTAATCAATGAAACACACACATGGGGATGATTTAGACAAGCAAACAAAGAGTATGTCCTTAAAAGTATCATTAATTCAAGGGTAAATATAGTTTGGTAGAGAAGTTACACTTTATCAGAATGAAATCCAATGAGAAGTCTCCTGTTGGGCAGAAGGAAAGGTCACAATATG